TAGTTATAGCGATAATACATAAGTAGGCATAGACAGGTCCGATATAACGGATACAGCGCGTCATTATATAATTTGCTTATTTGTTTTAAGGTGCTAGACCCTATAATTAGCCAGTGATAATTCGTTCTACATTTGAGTGGTTCCCACAAGCTTAGAAACACGATCATACCTACTAAAATTAAAAGACAAAAGCTAACAAAGTTAGATTTACCTACAACTTAGAAGAACTTACTAGCTAATAAATAGGTATGACGGTAATGGACCCCATTACAGGCACATTCGTGCGATGTTGTCAGGCTCGAAGGAGCATGAGGAGGGTGTTGCAATGACCAGGGACGGTGGTCTGTCGGCAACTGACGTTTTGCCGCATAAATATCACCAATATGACGGGAGTTCTCAGCCCAGAGAATGAAGCAATCGTCGTCTTCTTCAGGGTTTTACTTGTACCAACACGATTGTGATGGTACTCATCGAGAGCGCTTAGACACTCTGTGACTGAGCTGAAAAAAATGAGCTGCTGTACTTGCGAAGAGTAGCTGCTTGTGGAATCAGAAACCTCTCGGAGAGAATTTCTCGCCATAAGAACGTCAGGAGTAATAGCCATTGAGCCTGGTGACCAGGTGTTTAGCGCATGGCTAGCCGCTTGTCTAATAGTCTCGCTTGTGTCGCGAGGTCAAAATCATACTCGCGTCAGGTTATGGCGTGCGGCCTTGATCGAGCTTTACAAGCGCGTTTGACTTCTTCTGTTGTTGCTGCACATTATCAAGCGAGAGGATAGTTAATTATGCCAGCCTTGCACTTGGGAGTAGCGCACAGCGCTGTAAGGCTACAAACCGCACGATATTTCGAATTGGCACACAAAGGTGACGGGGCTTCCTGATGATGCTCAGGAGTGTCTCTTGACGAGGGCTCGTCAATGGAGGGTAAGCAGGTTTCGCATTCGTAATCCACCGCTTCTTCCTCCTTGAGGTATTCAGATAAGTCGTTTGAGGTCGAGGGAAGACGCTTCTCCCATGGAGTCTTGACTCATATATGACTTCGTCATGGCTGCTTGCAACTTATCTTACTAATAGCAATGCTCAGAAAAAGACAGGGGCTGCATAAAAACCGTAGACAAGGGTTTAAACAACCCGACCTCGATGAGATTAATTTCCGAATGTTGACACGCGTATCGCAGTTTGGTGGAAAAGGGTGTTAACGGGATTAAACGCTACGATATGGTGTGTAGAACACATAAGTAACAAGTACATAAGGTACACACCATATAGGAAGGGTGGTCACGGCGGAAGAGCTCCTTTTTCTTTGGGGGGTTTACATAATCGTGTACTGGACTGCCTACCTAAGAGCTGTGATTTCTCTACTTTGAAGCTGAAAATGTATAGAACGGACTGCTTGATGCCCATGAGATAGCCACAAATGCGCGTGATAGGTGCGGCTGCTGCACCGGAGGCAGCTGACCCAACTCGACAGGAACAACAGGATTAGGCTGAGTGCTTTTGGCAACTTGAGAAGGCCGCGATCGGAGAGCACCATCAGAACGACTCTGCACGCTCTCGGGCAGGTCTTAGCCCCAGTCATCAATGTCGTCGTCTAGGGGTGACTGATTATGAGCCGGCACATAGGAGTGGGGAAAGTTCGTTGGGAGGACCGCCATAGGTAAGTCTGGAGGCGCCCAAAGTAGAAAGGGTGCAAGCGCATAGCGGTATGTATGTCTCGCGTGTAGACATCATCGTGAACCTTAATTGCGCAAAACCGACCAATATACCGTAGGTTAGTTCTCAGCGCCCAATTTCTTCACTGCAGTGTGAGGGAGCTCTTACTCCGAGCTTCGAGATAGCCAGCACCGCTTGCTGCTGCCATAGCCATACAGACAGCCTGAGTCCAGCTAAGGATATTCTCTCCTTCTTTCTCCTCAAAGTTTTGCATGCTCACTAAGCGCGGTCTCGTTCTGAGAACGTCACCAGGTTCTGATGGATGCACCATAGACCTTACCCAGGACCATATGATTATGAATATGAATCATGAGACAAGCCTTATAATGCACAACTGAATCGAGACGTGCGATAACCTGATCCAGTCATAAATCTGCAAGGGCCTCTACATTCTCGTGACCAACAAGGAAAGCCAGTCTAGTAAGCGCTGTCGTTCACTCAAAGAGATAAGCAATTTCTGTATCCTCACAGAGGAACAGTGAAACGACTCGGTCGAATTGACTACAAATGCTACCAAGTGCAGCGGGGTTTGCAAATGGCAAGAGCCAGGAGAAGACTTAGACGTAGCGATTTCTGAATTTTACGAAATAACGATTCTATACAATAATTAGGCGGTCAAAGATCTAAGACACCTTAAAAACGGCTTTACTCTTATTTGGTTAAAATACAAACTGAGCTTTGTTATTGCTTGTGACCATCGCTAATTGGTAAAATATACAAGCTTTACTATAGGCTAATAACAAAGCTACGTAATAGATGTAACGGGCGATGCTTTTCCACTCCTCTGGGTTACTGATTCGGATGCGCGACGCCGGTTGTCGATCGTAGCGTTAAGTCACGAGGTCGTAATCGCTGGGCGCCGAGCCACAAGAATAGTTCGACCGAAAAACGCTACAGGCTTTGCTAGTTGAGATATTCACCGGCGGACGATACGTGGGAGCCTCGAAGTACACTGGTGAGGATGTCCTATCGTGGTTGCAGGTTATGATTCTAAGAAGAGACTGGGATTACGACTGATGTTGCCGCTCCAACCACGAAATTGGGAGTCATGGCGTTCGCGAGCAGCTGTACCACGGTGATGATCCCTAGAGCGACTACACGATTTAGCACAAGGCTCGTGAAAATATAGATCATGTAACTGCCATTCGCAACTACGCGAGCGAGAGGGCTTTTCCGTCCGGCGAAGTCCAGATACGTGTCACTCCGAAAGACACCTTTAGAAACGGGCAATCCGTGACTCTATGTATCGAAAAACTTCCCGTGACAAGCGTAGGGATAATAACACAGAAGTAGTATCACGCATTTGCGCAATGACGTAGACGTAGACAGTTCGTTGGCCGTACACTGTTCCATCCAAGCATGTGTTTAAGAAGAAATGGTCCGCAATGGGCTATCAATTTGACGTATCGATGTGCAACGCAACGTTCACTTACCATGATCGTATCCGGATCGTCTCTCGCTATTCATTATGAGCACTTGAAGAGCCCGTTTACAACACATGGGCAATATTATTCTTGTAACTATTCGACATTTGCATTTCAATCCGTGTCAGTTAAAACGCCCATTTTAAATGTAGAACTTTGTTTGAAAGTCATTTTTGTACCCAAAAAATACGTGATCGATTTGAATCAAAAGATGGTGTGTGAAATGCTTTGAATTCATAATAAAACACAGTGGGTTTTTCTTTTTTTGTTTTCATTGAAACGTATGAATCATCAACACTTTTGATGATGTGAGCAATAGATCGACTAACGTGTTGTTTGGGTTATTTGACACTAACACTTGGTCGTATCTTCCTTTTCCTTATGTTTTGGTCTTCCGTTCCTTCTTCGGTACGTTTTTCTTTGTATACTGACGGGTAGGAGGTATTGGTAACACATTAGCTAGACCCAAGAGATACGCGACACGATCAGAAGGTTGTGCACCCACTGACATCCAATAGCGTACACGTTGGTTGTTTACACGTAGTTCCTTGACACCATCACTTGCTGCAATTGGATTAAACGTACCAAGCTAAACGGAAACAATGACAATCGTTAAAAGTCTTGACATTACAATGATTGAAACTGAATAAAAAACACACAATGGGTGATATAATCGTACAATTTCAAGATGTTTGCCATCACGTGGAGCACGAGCGTCTGCTGCCACAATTCGGTAGAACGGCAGATCTTTACGTCCCCAACGGGCTAAACGCAATCTTACTACCATAATTCCTCACAGTTGATGGGGGCGCCAGTAAAAGAAATGATAGATAGCCATCGATATGAGTATACACTGGTACATACCGGTATTCGCAGGAGTATATATTAACACACATGTCACAGCAAGATATACAACACGTCATTAGGTGCTAATCCTGTTAAAACGATTAGCCAATTTGATACATAAGTCTACAGTGTAATCTTTTCAATTGAATCTTCTAGTGACTAGATAGTCAGTCACGTATTAAGCCAGATACTTTCGATACAAGGCAATCAATGACCCAATTTCCAATCCATTTTTCAAAAATATCGTACCAATACATGTTAATAACCCGAAATGACTATCACAATACGACTTCATCTCATCGTACGAGTTGTACAAACTCAAGACACATAGCAGCTTTGTTTTTCTCACCGCTTTTTACTAAACGGTTTAGTGCTTACTCGCAATTTGCCCGCATTTCGCAGCTAATCCAGCATCGACATAAACGGTCACGAAAAGAGGTCGTGTGCGACACTGCGACAATACGCAATAAGGCGTCTTTTCCACCAATAGTCCAACGTTCGTTTGTAAATTGTTGATATGAACAACTTATCATCCAGCATTCTAATCTACCAATTAGAATATACTTGTTTTAAAACCTGCTCTAAAGCATAAAACTGGACTGGCTTGATGCGTTCGGACCAATTACGTCACATTGTTTACCTACCAAGAGACAAGCCTGCGGTTAAAAGGAGAGAGAGATAAAGAGATAGAGAGATATACCGTGTGTCCAGTCGTCCGTCGTACCTTTCTTTCATAAGAAGCTCAAGTTCTTTCTTACTTTCTAGTACAATCGTATTGTCTTTGGTGTCGCTTTTTCACTCGTCCAATTGTATTTCGTGTGCGAGAATTGGGCAGAAAGACAAACCCAAACACGTAGAAATTGTCTTGTTGTTGTTTCTGCTGGCATTGTGTTGGCATTTTCTCTTTCTTCGTCTTGCTTCTTCGATTTCAATTGAATTGATATTTACATTAACACCTACTACTACTACTACTGCTGCTTTTCCTATTGTCACGTCTCATTACCACTTTTACACAATCATGGAGCAAGCTTTGCAATTACCAAGACTTCATTTGGACACATTTGTAGTGCAGCCAAAGTTTCTTGATCCTATTGAACCACCTACAGTGCCATTTCCTCCACCAACATGGTACGTTTTTCACGAGATTTTTGTTCTATTGACATGTAGTCTTCTTGTTCTCTTCTTTCTCTGACACTGTAGATTTTGGGTATTTTTATGTAGGTGTTTGCACAAACCTCCTCGTTCGATTTCATTAGTAGATGTATATAAAGACCATGTATTGATTGCAACAGTGAGTTTTGTGGTATTGATATCGAAAGGAATCGCCTGTGTGTGAGACTTACTTAAAGGGCGTTTTTTTGGTATGCCGATGAACTTGTATAGCATACTGTGGACCAAAAGGCATTTTACATTATTGGACGCAATGCTGCCGTATGCGATATCGTTTTGAGTCATTGCTCTATTTCAAGACGTCATGCAAGCATCGTGCACCACGAAAAAGGAGCAACATACCTTGTTGACTTTGGATCTGCTCACGGAACGTTCGTAGACGGATTGAGACTAACAGCTTTGCAGCCGACGCTTGTGACTAATGGCGCTGTACTAAAGTTTGGGGCGTCTTCGCGCTCATACATATTTAAGGTGAGCTTTTTTTGGATTGTTGACGGCTGCAAATGGTGGGTGAGTAAGTAAAATGTTATTTTGGTTTGTAGTCATTCGATTCTCGCGAGCAGATTGTTGAAATGATCAGCAATCGTAGGGGTCTTCCACGTGATGAACTGGAATTGCAGCAGAATACACTGCTCAATTCACAGATTACGCACCGATTGGAACTTTCGCCTACGAGGCGCAGTATGCCACCAATGTTCCCAATGGCACCGGTGTGTCAGGTCTCTGAGCTTCAGCTTCATTCTCAAGCTCCAGACCAGGATTCGCTGATGTTAATGGTTCCTGAGTGCGACCGTAGAGGAAGCACTGATGGAGTTCAGGTGCTGGGACTTGCAGGTATTGGACCAGTAAGAAAGCGCTCTCGTGGACAGTCAGGAAATTCTCAGGCTTCGGGTTCGTCCGATCAGAGTGGCAGCACAGCAGATCTGAGTGTGTATATGGATGACCCGACCGACTTGCAGCAGGGTGAGCCGAAGCGCGTGCACTTCTGCGGTCAGCCACCTGAGATTATCCCGGATCCTTTGGATGAGGAAGATACAATGGATCCTGACTCAGATGATGTGCGTGTTCGTGAAGAATTGCGAAGGACAGAACTATCCAACAGCGATTGAATTTCAAGGTGTGCCTGTGAAAGTGGTATACAGCAAATGATAAATAGACCAAACGCGAAGAAGCATTGATTCAGACGTTGGTGACGAGCCGAGAAAAATGCTGCATGTGACCAATCAAGCGCAAAAGACGTCAGCAGGTGATTGAGAATCTGTTGGATGCGCCTCAGAAATTTCGACTTGTAGCTGCATGAAAACTACACGAAGGTGCACATCGGCGTTTATCCGTTGCTAGCAAAAGGCTCAAGGTCACCGGATGGAAGTGAGAGAGCTATTAGGGACGCGTGGAGCTGTTATATATCGACTTTGCTCTAGTCGTGCAAGTGTTGCTGAACTCTGTCAAAACTGAGTTGTGTCGTCACACGCCAAATTTAAGGAATCCAGTTAATGATTTGTCTGGTTAGCAGTTGTAGTAATTCATAATTTAATAGTTTGGAAAGCTCATGCGTCTGACGTGCTTGCAGTCTAGAAGTCGCACGGATCACAACATTGTGTGATATTGAAATGCAAAAGGTTTTGAAGTCAATTGACGTGTTGTTTATCTGTTACCATCTTTACGTGAAGTTTTTTGACGCCGAGATTTAAGTAGTATCAGATTGTTTCATGCAGGTTCTTCTACAACCCGACCATACGAATACTGATACGAAAGACACTTGTCATTCTATCTAACCCGTCTCATTAGCATCATCTGCTTTACTGGTATCGTGAATAGTGTGAAGTCTATTAATCCACAGTGTTTTCAGGCCGGTATTAGTGCCGGCCTCAATGGCAAATACTTTTTCTTTTCCATCACACCTCTAGACGAGGCATTTGACTCATTCATAATATCTGCGACTTCTCTTTGTCATACGATCTATCTACAACAACCCTCCTCCATTAGAATCTAGTATGCTACAACCATTACAACACTTTTAATCCTAGAGACATATATCCGTCTTTTTGATTAACGGATGGCTATTTTGAGCTTTCAGGGTTGGCATATATATATTTTACTCTATATATCGCTGATAATGAATGACATGTAAGAAAACAATATGGACATATTATTATTTACATTCACTAAGGAATGAAAACAATCACTTTTTGTCAAGAAAATACCTTTACTAGAGCATAATATTATTGTCAGTAATTTCCTTACCAATCAAATCATCATGATAGTATGAGCTATGCTTTTCATTAGTGACATCTTTTGTACACATTGTGGGTAGCCATTTTTTAATATAATTTAGTTTACCAATAAGATAGATCAGAGAAATTATAAATTAAAAATTATTTATTGTAAGCATTTTTTGTTTAGTAGAGTAACTAACTTTGTTTTTGTCAAATATTTAAATCGCAATTTATAAAAAGCATTACAAAAAGCAATTTGTTTGCATGGACGAATGTCGCACACATCAATTAAGGCATTTCTATTTCTTACCTGCGATAGACGTTAAATTAGCGTCTCGAGCCAGGCTGAACAGTAGCTGCGTTTTACGTAATAACCAATGTTTTTCTCCTATGTATATCAGTATATATTGTGGAAATCTATACAAACTGCTGTCAAGGCTGCAGCCATTTGGTTCGTGCTATCAAAGTATCTTTGTAATTAGTGTCTATCTTCTTGCTAGAACTGCAAGTCATGTACATGCATATTTTATCAACCTCAGCGCAATGTTAGAACCAACTGAAGCTTAGAGAAAAGCCTTAGAATGATAATATAAATGCCGTGCAATCGATTTTACAAGGACAAGGGTACGGCGCATGGTGTCAAGTAAGATCTTAAGGTCAAGAAGATGCAAAGACTCTACAAAATTTACTCATTATGTATGAGGTTAGAACATGTCGTCCTAGCTTCTTCATTCCTTTTTGTACGAAGAATAAATTACGGACATTAATTAGTAGCACTTGGCTGAATATTATGTGGGCCAAGCGTTGAGCTCAGCCGAGTTGTTGGCTCAAGTTCTGTGTCAGGTCGAACTTCGGCGTTCTAACTCAACCCGTTGGATGTTACGTATCGCAACACGCTTCAAAAAATACAAGGCATGAACAACAAGGACACTAGACTCCGCGACTACCTTGCAAAGATTCGTAAGCAAAGAAGGACTGCATGTGTTGTGACGCGATATATCGTAATTGGATCGATCGTGGCTATCATTGGCATCTGTTTCAAAGTTTACGAGACAATTAAGCTCACGTTATCATCGGCTATCTGGACAACTCGGCGTGATACGACTCGAACGTATGCAGATTTTGGATGAAGTGGCGAAGGTTTAATGGAATACAATGAATAAAATAGCTCGGTACTTGTTACGTCTTGCGATGTTAGCAAATAATGGCAAAGGAGATGCCGGCAATAAAACATGTCCGAGACAGACTACTCTGTAGCTCTACCTATGCATTCCTTGTATACTGTGGAACAGAAGTGTCTTTCATTGGTAAGATAGTTGAATCCACCATGAGGCTGCATCTCTGTGACTTTTACGCAAGTAGCGTAATCGATTTCGAGTTTGTGGTCAATTGGTTTGGTGCACGTGCCCAACATCAGAATAGCTTTCTCTTCAAATGCTAATATTTGTGTTATCGTCTACAGCTTCTCTCAAAATCCTCTTACACTCAGTTGGTTTGATTGGGGGTCAGGTATAATGTATTAAATGATGTCATCTTAGAATCCAACTTGCACGTTGATCATCGGCCCCTTGGTGTTGTAGGAAGACTACTGGTTACGATCAGATCTTTCTGACGCCGTCACCAATTAGGCCCTTTGGCTTCTGGACAACTCATATAAAACGCAGTGGAATGATAGTATCAGGTACCAACAGCTTCGACGAGTTAGTGAGTATCATGTAAACTATGGACTTTGGAAGATAAAGCTAACAGCGTATTTCGATCCAGACTCGGCTGGAGATTGCAATGAATGATGGTCGGTGCGCGGGATATTGCTCATGAAATACGGTAATGCTGCGGTGTGGGCGATCAACATTTCAGAAAAGGTCACGCTATGCTTCTCGGAGACTAAGTACCCTATGGATCTTAGAGAGTGCTTCAAGGAAGTAATCTACGTGGGCAGCCTTGAAGAGATTGATGGTAATCAGATAGCATTGGTAAAGAACGTCGGTTGCCAAGTCCAGACGAAGCGTTGGTATCAGCTTTTACTTTATCCACAAAAGAAATCGCGAGTTGTGTTATAATATTAGGCTTGTGTACGTTTAATGCAAGCACATGCTCGCCGATAGCTTGACAGAGGGTTTTCAATCAAGCCTCTTTGCTACGTACTTGAATGCAACAAGAAAAACAACAATTGCGCCTTATTGCAAAGAAGAGGGCAACGCTTTGCAGTCTGCAGGCAGATTCCGTGGATCAAAATGCTTTTTTGTAGACCAAATGTGCTTTCATCATTCATCATTCAAGTAGAGACGACAGGCAGGTAGATGCATATTTTAGAGGACAATTGTCAGTAGACGATATTGCAAGCCTGATGCATGTGTAAAGAGGTGACGCTATTATTTTGTCGGATCGACATATGCATCTGTACATATCGGTGCTCACGGCAACTGCGGACAAGCTATCGGCTACTGACAATGACGCTTACCTGATCATAGATTGGGTGCTCATATTTGCGGAATGGCGATTATGGCGTTGATGACTTCAATTACGTACACCCTCGCTGATATTGATGAGGATAAGTGTGTTTCAGAATAGAAGCACTTATCAAATACGTCGCACCAAACAAGGTAATTGTTTGGTATACCTCGTAGTCACAGGTTTTGGGCGTGCGTCAGAGTTTACTCATTCATGACTGGATTGGTGTCAATGGAGGCTACAACTGGCGATTTTTGTGGGCAATGGGCTTTGCCATCAAACCTTCTGGTTCGTACTGATTCCTCAATTGTACCGCATATTTTTCATGCTAAAGTTTTGGCTTTGCCGCGAATACGTTTGACTGCAGCATTACGTACGGTATCAAATGATACATACTGTCGAATGTACGCTTCAAGCCCATTTCGGAGCACGTGTGGTAGGTAACCTGAGGCTGCTTAACGAAGAATTTCAGCAATTGTCTCGTGCTTGGTGACCTATTTGTTGCTATCGACTACACTAAAGCTGGACTGTCTACCCCCATATTTCAACATTCTGTTCTAGGTATCTCTATCTTAAAGCGTCGTATCTACCAGCCCGGTAAACTTTACTAGACGCTCAGTAGAGTCCGACCTCTATCTTACCTTGGTGATGTCTAGACAATGTCCGGAAGCAGATAGCGTCTTCCAATTTTGCGGTTGTACTCCAAAACTTGTGCGCGCACCTTGCGCTTCTTCATCAGTTTGTGGCGCGTACCAGCAAGCAGCACGGCGTTCGGGTCCTCTGGAATGAGGTCAGAAAAAATACCATACTTCTCCGTCAGAGCGCGAATCTTTTTCAAATGCTTCTCCTCCATCTGCAATCCTAGAGCATCAGCATCCTCGAGAGTCGTCAAAGCACGTCGAATAAGACGCTTCCTCGCGTAATGGTCCACCAAGATGCCGAAGGTTGCCGCATCGGCCTCGAGGTCTCCATTTTCTATCTCAAATCGAATACGTTCCAGCAACTCCTCGGCCCGTGTCGTCCGCTTGGCACGAACGTACATTTGCATCATGCTACGGTATGTGAATTTGTTGGGCTTCTGATTAAACTTTGAGAATGTTTCGTCAACAAACATCTCTGCCGAGCGCAGACGCAACGCATTTGAGTATACGCCAAGCATTGAGTTTAGCGTTATTAATGTCGGCTTGAGACCGTTCTCAAAGGTCATCTCGTGGAAGCGAACCTCTGCGCGCTTAATATTGAGCGTCTGAAACTTGCCGAAGTTTTCAAGATTCATTGGCGTCATTTCAAAATCGAGTAATTCCTCGCTGTCAGCAAAAAGTAAGTCGTCATCTTTGCCGTAGACTTCCATGCTCCGTTCAGTTTTGATCAATTCCGTCACTTGCGTATTCTTCTGTTCTTTACAATAATCAGTCTTGTCTCTCTGGCGCAGTTCTTCCACTTGAGCCAACGCCTCAGGACTTAACTTGTAGCTCTCTGCTTCTCCTTCTTCATCTTCATCATCATCAATACGTCCATCATAGTTTGCATTCTGAAGCGTAAACGTCTCCTTGCCTGGGCGTGTCAAATCCACTTCTTTGCCTTCATCATCCCACTCGAGAGGTTCATGATATGTCGGCTCAGGCTTTGGTAAAGCTTTCGCGTTACGGGGGGCCTTATCTACAATGCTTCTGATTTGGGCGCGAGCGTAGACATTAAACAGCGTATTGTACACGAGCTCTGTCATGGGAACGCGATGACGCTCCATGTGACGAATGATTTGCTCAGCCTGGATGAAATCGCCATGCTTAGCGCACGCATGCAGCACAGTCGAATACGAGTACAGATCCGGTGTGTAGTCATAGAGCTCCTGCATTTCGTAGTAAAAGTCAATTGCTTTATGTGCGTAGTAGTGCGATTTAGCACACGCCTTCATAAGTGTGTTAAACGTCACAAGTGAAGGCGTCAAACCACACTCTAGCAAATCTTCCAACAAGTTTAGAGCGCGTTCCACACGACCTATACGAGCAAAGCCATTAATTATACAGCTAAACGCCACTTCATCCGGTTCAGCCACGTGGGTACGCATCAAATGGAAAGTCTCAAATGCTTTATCGATATCTCCTTCTGCAATTGCAGCGTTCATCAAAATAGTAAACGACGCACGATCAGGCACTAAACCAGCAACTTGCATCTTTTCCATGACATTATACGCCCATGATATTCTTTTTGCCTTTGAGCACGCACACATGACAGCATTATACACCGATACATTAGGCAACACACCACGCTCTTTCATACGTCCAATAACTCTTACAGCATGTGCCGCCTGTCCGTCCGTACCCAAAGCCGTAGCATACAACATGTATGATTTAGCATTGGGTGGTATAACATGTGGCACACTCTCGAGCGCATCCATTAGTGCCATTTCCGTACTATCCGTTACTTTCACCAATGTCACAGCTTTTTCGGTCGCAATAGGCCTTAAATTCTTTTCCATTCTCGATAATAGTGCATTCGCTTCCTTACAAAGACCCTTGACTGCATATACTCGTAATAGAAAGTTATAATCAATAATTGTAAGTTCCGTTTGGTCATGTCGTATCCCATTATGTGAAATATTGTCGTCCGTCGCATTGTCGTCCGTTCCATCTTTGTATGTCTTATCAATGGTCTTAAGAATCTCTGGGTCCGCACGAGCAAGAGCATTTAGCTTTTCAAGAGCGTCAATATGATTCACGTCTTTTAGACTTGGCTCTGACTCATAAATATAATCGCCATGAGGTCCAGACTTGTTTAAATACTCAAATACACGATCCAACTCGTGATTAAGTTCGTCATTTTGCGTCAATGCTGTCCATTCCTTAGCATTACGGTCATTTAATTGCTTTGCTTTTTTCAAGTCATACATTCGCTCCACATGAGACCGATGTGGTGCTGACCCTTTCTTAAGCTTTTGCTTCGTACTTTGTGCAGTATGGCTCTTATTTCCTTTGCTAAAATTCCAGCTAGATGTTTTATTTACAAAGGCCGAGGCACCACCTTTACGCTTCATGAGGACGTTACTTTGCGAGATCGCACGCCATTGGAGCGAATATGGAATATATGAAAACCCAAAAATTGTATCATTCAAGTAGGACGAGGCACTAAATGCAAGTGGAACGCCATATTCAGAGAGAGGGCGACGGACTCTTGATGCAACGGCAAGGCGTAGCAGTGCGGACATGTCACTTTAAAATGCGGAATGGGAGTGATGGTCTAGGAAAGGGCTGGTAGACAACGATTGATTACAGTTACAATTGAATACAGTATGTACATAGGATGTCACCGATGAGGAGATGGGTTCGTACTGAATTAAGTACGATATAGAAACTTGTAAGGCATTGACGCTAGCATAAATTATACTTACAGTTAAGAAGCAGAAAAACTGACAGCTTTTAGAAGCTGGGTCCTAAAGTTAGCAGCAAGTATACTTTTAATAGTATAATCGGATGGTGTATTTGCAAATATTATCTTTATTGCTCAACGTACGGCAAAAACTTCGGAGTTATCATTAGTCTCATCGACGACTACAAAATTGTCAGTCACATCAATCCGCAATTGTAGTAAAATTTCTTGCATTCGAGCAGGCAGCATAGAGGCTTGGCTAAATACCCTTTGTCAAGTAGTTCTTCGCGAGTATGTGCTCGTCTCAATTTACTTAAGTCTACTATAGAGATTTCCCCGACAAACCTGACGAAGCAAGGCACACAATGGCCGACTGGATGATCAGAGAGTGCACTGACTTCGTCAAGAACCGGTATGAACCTGCATTACTTGCTCCATACATGACCCAGACGCGTTTTCTTGATTCATCACGATAGGAATCAACATTTTCTGATTGGTCTTAGCTTTATACTAAATAATCGACGTTCCAAGGCTTACTTGATTCTACAGGGTTTACTAGTTGAGTATTGACGGCTGCCACGTCGAACGAATGTTATGTGTTGTTAATATATACTACTGCGAATACCGGTATCTACCAGTGTATACTCATATCGTATGGGCTATCTATCATTTCTTTTACTGGCGCCCCCATCAACTGTGAGGAATTATGGTAGTAAGATTGCGTTTAGCCCGTTGGGGACGTAAAGATCTGCCATTCTACCGAATTGTGGCAGCAGACGCTCGTGCTCCACGTGATGGCAAACATCTTGAAATTGTACGATTATATCACCCATTGTGTGTTTTTTATTCAGTTTCAATCATTTTAAAATGTCAAGACTTTTAACGATTGTCATTGTTTCCGTTTAGCTTGGTACGTTTAATCCAATTGCAGCAAGTGATGGTGTCAAGGAACTACGTGTAAACAACCAACGTGTACGCTATTGGATGTCAGTGGGTGCACAACCTTCTGATCGTGTCGCGTATCTCTTGGGTCTAGCTAATGTGTTACCAATACCTCCTACCCGTCAGTATACAAAGAAAAACGTACCGAAGAAGGAACGGAAGACCAAAACATAAGGAAAAGGAAGATACGACCAAGTGTTAGTGTCTAATAACCCAAACAACACGTTAGTCGATCTATTGTTCACATCATCAAAAGTGTTGATGATTCATACGTTTCAATGAAAACAAAAAAAGAAAAACCCACTGTGTTTTATTATGAATTCAAAGCATTTCACACACCATCTTTTGATTCAAATCGATCACGTATTTTTTGGGTACAAAAATGGCTTCCAAACAGGGTTTTACAATTAAAATGGGCGTTTTATCCGTGCTAATGATCCTCCACCTTTGAGCATATTTCCACCCTTACGCACTTGTTGGTTAAAAGTCGCATTCTCTTCCTCAAGCCAATGACGAATTTCCTTTTGTTTCTCCTCCTTGGCTAGCAGTCTTGACTTTTCCTCCTTTTGCTTTTCACGCTCAATAAATTCAGTGTCACGACGAAGTTCACGTGCTGCACTCTTTCGTGCACGTTTAACTTGACGTTGCAGCTGCTTCAATTGTGCAGTGTCCTTCGGTGCCATCTTGTCCTTTCGCGCCGTATAGCTCTCGTCAAACTGCGGAGCGAATGTTGGCAAAGTCATTGGCCTAAAGCTCTGCAGACGAAGCGGTCGACGTGTCTTCCAACATGACTTGAGACGTGTGTGAAGCTTCCAAATGACAACATTGACTTCAAATATCTTGATGTCTTCCAGCTGCTTCACCAGAGCATGGAGTAGTAGATAAAGCGGGTAAAAAAGCTCGTCAAATGATGGCAGCGACGCGTACTGAGCCGATGAAATATCCACTAGACCCAAGAGGGAACTCAACACTTGAGCACCGCTACATGACGAGCTATCAGCTAACGCGACACGTGGCAACACAGACATCTTCCCGTCAGAGCGAGTACACACCCACTTCAGCAAGTCACGACGCAGCCAATGGATTGAAGTATAGCAGTCATTGCTGTTGTCTTTTGACTCATCGACACCCGAGGTCACAAAAGCACGGAGAATGTGAGTGAGGAAGGTCACGACCTCAGGCATAAAACGCTCCTTCGAACGCATCATGTCCAGAGACAATGAAGCGGCAAACAACGCCTGTGTGGCCTCCTGGGGCGATCTTACCGTACCACGAGCTAAACTCTCTCCGAGCAGCGTCTCCATTGGAGAGACCACATTGTGTCGCAAGTCGGACGTCGGAAAAATGCACGTCAGGGCCTTGAACAGAAGAAGTTCCGGAAGCGTAGGCCACGCACAGATTGAAGCACGCTTGTGCAGACGCTTGAAAAGCTGACGTAGCAGCTCACGCGCTACGATGCCTGCAGTTTCGCTCATCTCCTGAGCTAATGTGTACATTGTTTTTGTCAGTAAATCAAGCTGCATCAGAAAAGGAAACACAGCCATAAGCACACTCAGCTCAGTAGTACCTCTAACACCAATTTCGGATCAAACTACGTACATCATGCTTGTGTGCAGCATATCGCGCTGCAAAGATCAGGAACTGTCGCACAATTACCGCGAAGAAACGCTTCATTTTGCTCTTGTTTTCCACACTCAGTCGTGGATTATAGTATGTCACAATGCGTTCCAAGATAAGTCCACGCTTTTCATACGACTCTCGTGCGTGCTTCTTAAAAATTGCACCCAGCTCTTCAGGAGACTCCGGGCATTCAAACACGAATGGAAGTTCACCTGCAGCTTCCTCAGCATCGTGCAACTGCAGTTGCTTTTCCATTACTTTGTCACTTTTGCCCTCTTCCTCAATCGTTTCTTTTTCATTACCTTCCCGTACTTTATCCTGTGTTGCCTTGTTTTCATTCGGATGGTCCGATTCCGTTAAAACATCGCCATCGAACCCTTCCTCTCCACCCTCAACAGGTTCCTCACTACCGTCTTTATCATAGGCATTCTCCTCCACCACTTCATCTTCAGCATTCTCCTCCACCTCTTCTTCTTCGGCGCTCGCGGCAAAACGACTAGCAACTGTGTAGTCGTCAGTCAGATCGTCATCGGTGGGCGGCATCACAACAAGCTGCATTTTTTTCTCTTTTTTCACTTCCTTTTTGCCACTCTTGCTCTTGCGCTTTCCAGCGTCGTCGCTGTCACTATCATCAGCATCAGCACCGTACATACGCGCGACACGCTTCTTTTCACGTTCAACAAGACGGTCACGTTCCTTTGCAGCAGCCTCTTCGGGCGACATCCGTCGCTCTGTCGCCTTGACCTTGGCCTCAAACGCAAGTTCCCGCGTGATTTTGTCAAAGTCATCCATCGGCTCTTTTGACATTACTTCCTTGCCATTTGCACGCGTGGGACGGAACTCGAGCAGTTCACGCAGATCCGCAAACCCTTCGTCCAATTTGTCCGTAGCATCTTCCTGCAAAGTTTTGTCTTTTTGTCGCTTCGCCTTGTACAGTTTGGCCTTCATCATGACTTCTTGCATCACTTCCTTGTGGGTCTTTCTCTTCCCACCGTCTTCTTCAATCTCCAGTGCATTGACGTCTCTGTTGCCACCTCCAAAGTGAAGTTTGTGAACAATATCGCTGTCCATCTTTCTACTTTCCTCCGAATATATGTCTTCATTGTCATATGAACCATTTGCATTGAGAATATCGTAACCATCTTGTGTAAGTTTTGCCCCTCTATGTGTCAAGAATGACGAGTCATCATCTTCTTCCTGCTCTGAATCGGAGTCCCGTAGTATAAACGTTGACGCATTGCGTATCTTACGCTTACGTTCCATCTGAAACCGAGCCATCATTTTGTCCTCTATAGACAATGTCGGATCCTGCTCACCAAGACGTTTGTCCTTAAACACGTTGCTCTTGTTCCGTGCCTTGAACTCAATGCCGAGCGTCTTGTGACGTTTGCGTTCTGCTTTAGCTCGCGCAATCAACACGTTGCGACCTGCGCCTTTTACACGACGTCCAAGAACTTCATACTTTTGATTTGTGGCATTACTGCGTACGTCGAATGGGTTGTCACCATGGGAGCTGCTAGCACGTAAGAAGCCGCATTTCTGCTTATTACTGATGGCTGTTTTCTTACTACGACCTTTTTGAAACCCCATGGAAGAAGAATGAGATAGAGGTAGAGAGAGACTGAAGAAGAGAGAGAATGCACGGGAAAGACACGGAAGAAGGTGAAGAGATTTACACGTGACCAACCAATGTACCAGTTAATAAGGGAAGTATTTACTCATAATTTTATTCAAATTACCATCGGTTTAAGATTATTTTAAGAGTTTATACTGATTCATACAATGTTGGTAGCAAAAAAGTATTGTTCACAAACGTGTCAGTGTTTTCATGTAAATCTGCAGTTTTAGGTCGTCTAGCACAACGTCTCACTCAGATTTGTCCGAGTTAGTATCATCATTAGTGATTCAATCACTGTCAAAGCCTCATCACATCACTTGCAAGACACCATCTTTTCTCATTCTATCTCCCGAGTGTGTGCCATCAATATTAAGATCTACGTCAAAAGACGGTACATCTTCCTGACTGTCCTGTGAGGTTTTCTGGTTCTTGTCAAGTCAAGAAGAAAAATATTGGGCCGACCAAAGAAGACAGCTGTATTCAGGTGACAGACGTTACAAACTTGTAGACAAGGTCACAGTCGCGCCGCCATCATTTTTTGCTGTCATTTTAGATCAACCTAAAAATAGGAGCTTTGGGATCACCGTTTCTTTATAAGTAGCGAAGACAGAAACTCCGTATACCAGCTCTCTATGATACATATAATGGAACAGTTGCCT